GAAGTATTATAGTTAGGTTAGCAGGGGTGTTTATAGTAGTAAAAGTAGATATAATATAATATTATAATAGTACTATATATAAAAGGTTAAAGGCTTAAAAAGAAGCGTTAATTAGGTGCTATATATAATACTATATAGAGAATTAAGATATTGTATAAGGGACAGGAAAATAGGAGACGGGCCACCGGATATAAGGGCGTGGCCGAGCGCGTGGCGTACGGCCTCTATGCCGTTTCGGCGCGTGGCACGCATGTACGCAAGGTTCTTACCAGATTAGGTAATAGGAAAAGGGGGCAGCCGGTAGGTGGCTGGAGCGGGATAGGATAGGAAGCGGAAGTGAGATGGGAGCGGAGCAGGGCAGGCAGGGCAGAAGGCCGGCCAGCGGTAGTAGGCCGGTGCAGATTGCTGGAGTTGTAGCAATCTGCGGCAGAATTTCGGTAGGTAGGGTGTTACGGTTAATACTATAACAGCTAGTAATAGTATTTCTATAGTATATATATAGAAGTTCTACTTTTAGTTTATTATAGTTAGGTATATATAGGCAGTTCTAATAGTATAAATATTTACTTTTTTTCTAGTATTTAGCTAATATAAGCTTTATATAATAGTAGTATTTTTTTTTTAAAGCTTTTAAAACTAATAGCAGAATAAAGTCTTTTTTATATACTATTTTTAGTAGAGCGGTAATTATAAAAGGTAGTTCTATATTTTTTTTAGTTTTTTATTTATTTTATAGGGTATTATCTAGAAAAGTTAGTAATAAGCCTTTTTACCGGGTTTTTATAGGTGCTAGAGCTATTATTTTAGCTTTATTTTTAAAGTTTAATCTTTTTAGAATTATCTAGCTCTAGTAGTAGAAATATTTATCCCCTTTTTTAGGTAGGTTCTCTAATTTTTTAGTTAGAAAATCGGGCTTTATTTTAAGTTTTCCGGGTTAATATATAATTTTAAAGTTAAAATAGAATAGGAATTTAGACTAGTAGGCCTGGCAGTAGTTTAGTAGTTTTATTATTATAAAGTACTTTAGATTATAGTAGTTAGTAATAACTTTAATAGGTAAAGCGGCGCTTTTAAGCTCTAGTTTCTATTTTTTAAAGTATTAGATAATAGTAAGCAGTTTCTTATTATATATTTTATAGTTATATTTTATAACTAAGTACTTTTTTAAAAAAAATATAATAGGGCGCAGGATTTTATCGTTTCCGTACTATAATAAAACGCTAGCTAAAATATAATTAGATATATCTATTTCTATAATAATAGGCTTATTTTAGTTAAATAGTACTAGAATAGGTATAAAGGTAAAGGCTTTTTTTAATTTAGTAAAAGCTTTTTAATAGGCAGTATTCTATATAAAGGCAACGCCCTTTTTTATTAGGCGTACTAGTAAAGTAATAATTTTTAAAAAGTTTTTAATAAATTAGTAGTAGAAGTTTCTAAATCCTATAAAAGCTTATATATTAGTTAGGTAAGTTAGTATTTTCTAGTCTATTATAGCTTAAATTTTTTCTAGGTCTATTTATAGGCCGTTAGCTCCTATAATAATATCTAGGAATATTATTTCTTTAGTAAAAAACTTATATTTCTTAATTTTTATATAAAGTTCTATTTTTTATAGTAGTTTTAGTATAGTATAGATATACTTTAGGTATTTAGTTTAGTTCCGGCTATAAATTAGAATATTATCTAGGTAGGCAGTATAGAAAATATTAAGATACTTTTATAAAGTATTATTTATAAATTATTAGAATATTATAGGGGCTTTAGTAAGCCTAAATAGTATTACTAAGGTTTTAAATAGTTCTAGTCGGGTTTAGAACGCAGTAAGCTATTTTTAACCCTTTTTTATATATAGGTTATTAAAGGTAAATATAATATTAATTTTTATAAAATACTTTATTTTTTTTAGGTTACTTAAAGTTTCCTTTATTAATAGTAGCAGGTAGCAGTTCTTAACTATTATAGTATTTAGCGCTTAGTAGTTAATATAGAAGTAAAGGCCTTTTCTAGGCTTTTTTATAAATAATATAGGTAATATAGCAGGTAAAGAGCTAAAGCGGATAAATTCTTTCTTTAGATTATTTACTACCTATTCTTTTAGAGCTATTAGCTTATTATAAAATATTAGGTATAAAGGTCTAAAAAAGGGCGTTTTTCCTTTTTCTAACTTAATTTTATAGTTATACAGGCGGTGTAGTAGCAGGCAGTTAGCGTTTTTAGGCGAAAAAATATTAGTAAACTTTTATAGTTCTTTAGGCAGGTAGTCTAGGTTAAAGCCCTTTTTTTTAGATAAAATATAGTTAATATTATTTAGTAATATAGAGAAAAGTTTATATTTTTTTTATAGATAGGCGCTATATATACGTAAGGAAACGGGTGCTATATTTTTCCCTTTTAGGTTTTTTAGTGCAGGCGGCAGGTACTCTAGGCGGTTCTTTTTTAGAATATTAGCAATTCCTTATATACGCGTTGCTTTTTGCGGTATATTATAGTATTTATAATAGTACTAGCTTATAAACTATAGTATATTACGGGACTAGTCCGGTATAGGATTATATAGGTATAGCTACAGAATTCCTAGAATAATTAGGTAATAACTTAGTTTAGTTACCCCTATTTAAATAGTTTCTAAATATTTATTTATCTATAATTAAACCTAAATAGTATAGGTTACTTTACCTGCTTTAGAATTGCCTCTATCGGCCAGTTCTAGGTAAAAAAGGTACTTAAGCGGAATTATTAGAATATAGTAATACTTTACCTAGTTTTTATTAACTAGCGCTTTTTTTTTATAGCTACTATTAATTATACTATATACTAAAATACTCTAGCCCTAGTATTCTAAATATATAGGTATAATTAATAGGTTAGCTTTTATAACCTATTTCTTTTTAATAGTTATTTTTTAAATAGCAGCGGCAGATACTTATATAGTATATAGTATATAAGCCTAACTATAACCTATATTAGGCTTAATCCTTTTATTAAAGTAGAAAACGGGGGAAAAGTAGGTTTTAGCAGTATTTAGGTTCTATATTTAGTAAAGGGTAGTAAAGGGCTCTAGAAGAATATATTTTTATAAATAAAGCGGAAGTAAATAAAGTATTTATTAGGCTAAAGATAGTTATAAATAAAGTGTTTTTTAGATCTATAATAGTAATATTCCTTTTTTTTATATTAAGTTAAGCGACCTTTTAAAAAATCTATTAGGTTTCCGGAAACTTTTATAATTTTTATAGTACTAAACGCTTTTAGTAATAACTAGGGTATAGTAGTTTATATTTCTATAGAAACAGGTGTTTTCTAATAGGTTTAATTTATATTAGCGTATATTTTTAGGGTTATAGTAGTAGATACTTTATATTATTTACAGCGGTTATTTAGGTTTTAAAGGAACTTTATAAATATATAGTACTTTCTACTAAAAGGTTTATAGTAAAGTAGTATTTCCTTTAGTTTATAGTTAACAGCTTTTTCTAAAAAGGTTAGTAGAGCTTTTTTAGAAAGCTCTTCTTCTAAAGCTAGGCGTTGGAATTTAGTAAGAAAAATACTACCTTAAATAATCCGACGGCGTTTTAGCTGCTAATTTTAGAGGGTTATAACGCCGTTTTCTAAGGCTAACTTACTATAAAACCTCCCTAACCGCGCCGGCACGGGCACGAGCGCACGTCCCCCTCGGGTTTCCTTTATTAGTTAGCGTAGGCGCCAACAGTTAAAGGGATCCTGGAGCCTGTTTTATGTCCTGGACACAGCGGCACGCCTATAACCTTAGTCTATTCTTAACGCCTGTATTATATTAACCTAAACTAAGGCCGCTCTGCCTGCGGCGTACTTAAACCCTTCTGCTTTTTATTAGTAATAGATCCGCGCATAAGGCCCGCTCTTTCTTATTTTTCCTCCGCTCTCTCTTATCTTTCCTCTACCTAAAGCCGCGACTTTAGGATATTGCGCCCGTCTTAAACACACGCCGCACTGCTTGTTAACTAACCCTTAAAACTCCTACCCTTACGGCGAAGTAGCACCCGTACTCTAACCTTCGGGTTATAGGCTCTGCCCCTATAAGCTTGGGATATACAGCCTCTCCACGCAAAGAGGCTGTCCAGCCTCCTAATTAGCAGTGGCACGAGTAACTATAAGGCCTTTTTACACGCTATTAGGAAGCAAAAAGTATTTAAATAGCATCCGAAGCCGAGAATACTCGGCTTACCGCTATAATAGAAACCTGGTTACTGTTTACCACTACCTTATTTAACACCGCTCTACTACTATAGCAGATTAGCGTCTTCCTTTATTAAGCTCTTTTATTAAGCTTTTAGTTAACCTCTTCCTTTATTAATATCTACCTTTATTAACCTTTACCTTTATTAACTTCTATTATTATTAACCTTTATTAACCTTTATTAACCTTTACCTCTATTAACTTCTACCTCTGTTAACCTTTACCTCTATTAACCTCTGCCTCTATTAACCTCTACCTTTATTAACTTCTACGCACTAATATACGCTATTATCTATTAGTTAACGATTTGTCCGAGGTAAGTAAGTATACGGAGTCTAATATAGACAACGGTGTAGTATCGGATACTAATCTAACTAATATTAATACTTATACTAATAAGGATAATAAGTATAATAAGCAATACAAAGGTATAGAGGATAGAGTATAGCTATCTTCTAATAAGAACTATCCGCCTAAGTACTACCTCTAATAGCTGGAAATATTCGATAATTAAAAGTATATAAAAAAGGATTATAAGGACGGCACTACTCGCCTGCTAGATTATATAGAAGATTAGTAGAATTAGTAGGTTACTAGTTTCTATACTCTAGTATTAACCTGCGCTAGACTTAAAAATACAATGCTAATATAGTATAGATGCTGGATATACTTTAGAAAAAACAACCTCTATTCCTATATAACTGTGTCCGTCCGTATACTATATACTTTCTTTAACTGGCTACTTAGTTAGCGCTAAGGGAAAAGAGGAAGGAAACGTTAGGGTACTAAGTATGCCAGCTTTCTTAGAATATACTGGAAGGTATATTGCCTGGTATATAAAAAAGCAACTAGTAGTAAAATAGATAGCAAAATAAACCGGAGCATATATAAGGTGCTAAGAAAATTAGCTAAAAAGTATAACCTAAAAAAGGTAGGGCGAGATAAGGCCTGTATATATATAGAGAATTAGACTAAAGTACTGTAAATAAACCTTATAATAACTAAAAAGAGATATTTTTACGAATAGTATAGAATATAAGCCCAGATCTACTTATAGCTTAGTAGGTTTACAGTAAATTAGCTATAAGCTATTTTTAGGCTCCGCTATTAATATATATAGGTTACCCTGCTCCGGGATCTAAAGGGGGGGCCTTATTAGGTGTTGCTAAAGTTTACCTTCGAATTTATAAAGGAGTTCCTTAGGATAAAAAATATATAAGTCTATAAGTCTTCCTGCTAATATCTATATATTTTTAAGGGAATATTAATTTTAGTAAGGAACACCTTCCTTCTTCCTAAAATTATCTATAATAAATCCCTTATTTTTAGTCTATACGTTTTTCTTTTTAGGGTGCTTTTCCGCGATTAGGCGTTTATAGCATATAATCTAATATTTAAAAAGGAATTAAGCAGGCTCTATATTCTACTAGAGCGTAATAAGCTACTATTACGCCTTAATAGCAAATTAGATAATATCCCGGTACTTTAGCAACCTATAAGAACCCCGAACGGCTGGGCTATTTTTTCTAATTAGCCTCTTTAGTACTCTATATTACTGCCCTAGATTAGAGTACTAGGAGAAATTATAGGGTTTGCCTAAATTACCTGTCCTTATTTATTAAAATATAATAGAGGGAAGGCCTTTAATAAAAATAGTAAGCTTAGCCTAAGCTATTATTAGGAAGATATAGAATTAATATAATATATAGGTAATATTAGCAAGGCTATATAAAACCTTATAATAACGCACCGCGATATCCGGACGTTCTTAAAACACTATCTTTTATAAAAGATTACTGTAGATATACAAGCTATTATGCGAGGTATTTAGCCCTAAAACGTAATAATACGAGCAGCTTATACTATAAGTTGCTTAATTAATACCCGACGGCTACAACAGCTTACTCCGGAATAATCTATATTAGTAAATAATTATCCTGCCGTTTAATACCTGCTCTAAAAATAAAAGAGACTTAAATATACCCTCTAAAATACTATAAAATATCTAAAGTATAAAAAGCTTAGTCGTAAAATTAATCGGGAAAGGCAGCGCCTGCGAGATGCCCTTTTTTAGGATATTAAAGAATATTAGGAGTATAAGCAACCTGTGCATAATATTAAGCAGCAACTTACCGGTATTAAAGTTAAAACCGATATTATTATAGTACAGCCTTAGTATACTATGCTCCCGGTATAGAAAAAGCTAGTCGACGCTATTATAGCCCCGCTGGGAGTTACTCTAGAAGCAGAAATACGCCGGCGTAATAGAGCTATTTAAGCTGTTACGGAATATTATAGGGTTAAGGAGGGCGGAATAAACCCTTTTTAAGCAAAGCAACGGAGCGGAAATATTGCTCCGCCGGCTAAAAGCTAGTTAAAGTATAACGAAAAAGCACTAGAAATAGCAAAGGTGTTAGTGTATAAAGAAAAGAGGCCGAAGAGATATTAGAAATGCATTGGTAATCCTAATCTGCTAATTAAAGATCGGATATATAAATTCAGCCGTAAAGGCGATTTTAGTAAATATTTTAAACGGAAGCACTTAAAATATATTAAGGAAGGGGAGTTTTTTAGTTATAAGCTTTATTAGGTGCCCCTGGAAAACAAGATGCACTTATAATAATATAGCCTAGAGGTCTATAGTATAGTTACCTAAGTATAGACTTTTTACTTTTTCTTTAGTAAGCTATAAAAACGCAATACTTTATATAGATTATAGTATTCTAAATTTAGTAATATTTTATATAAAAATCTCCTATATATATAGAACTAGATTTGCGCTAAAGCGAAAACAGTAGCAGTTCTAATATAAAATAGAAGTACTTCCGCTTTAAGACTAGTATAACCCCTTCTAAGTAGATATAGCACCTAATCTAGCTCGCTTAAACGCTGGCGTTGTTAATCCGCTGGCGATTTTAATGCGCCAGCGTTATAGAGCCTATATTAGCTCCCGGCGCTTATATTCCGCTAGCGATTCCAATACGCCAGCGTTATAGGAAAGACTAGGACGCCGTATACTTTAGCTAGAAAGGCTTGCATAAATATCTAGAAGTGCCCGAGCCTTATATTAGCGAAGATCTGTACTAGTATAAAGTGCTGCCTTTAGAACGGAGAATTAGGGCTAACTTAGTAAGTTATAATATAAGTACTATTATAAAGAGCCCGTTTAGGCTCCTCTTCCTTTTCGTACTAGTCCCTTTTTTATACGCCCTTCGGAACGGTATATAGCCTGTACTAGTCCCTATATAGGGATTAGTACTATTAAGTAAGTAATTATATCTGCTTTTTTCATTTTTTTTCTGGCTATAGATAGGCGGGGTGCCTTATATATATATCTATTCTCACCTCTTATTATATTGTTTTAGCTACTATTAACCGTAATATTTAACACTTCTACTCGATAGCTATTTTTACTAGGAAGAGTGCTAGCGACAATTTATTACGGCTCTAATAAACCCTATTAAAACCTTTAAAAACCTTAAAGGTAAAAAGAGAAGGAAAGGGTGCCTGTATTCTGCCTCCGCTCGAAGCTAATAGTTCGTGCGGATTACTTAATACCTAGCCCTCTCCGAAACTATTTAAATCTATCTTATGCAAGAGGCTTGGTAAATCTATCGGCAATTTATGCTGTAGTTAGAATATACTTTAGTTTAACTATTCCAGCGTTTTAAACCTTTTCTTACCACTTGCGCTGGATTTCTATATACTTTATGCGTGAGTAGTACTATAGGTTTAAGAATAGAGTAATAGCTCCCTAGTTATTGCTATATATAATTATTGCAGCTTTTCCTTAGCCTATATTTAGCTTATTAAGGAGTCTTCTTAACTAAATTACCTTTTTAGTTGCTTATATCTATCCTATAAATTCTGCTTTATAGGTTAATAAAGCGATAACGCTCTAGCGCTTAGACTACTAGCTAATTGCTCCGCTCCCGATATTAAACAGGTATCTAGCTGTTAATTATCTTATATTGCGATATTTAGCCTAGTCTATATCTATAAAACCCTTTAATATCTAGAGGTAACCTTTATATATAAGTTTAAGATCTTTTATACCTTTAAGGTACTATAGGATACGTTAAGCAAGCTTTATATATTATAGCCCAGGATTTGCTAAATGCCGGCTTACTATAGAAACTATATATATAATATCTTCTTTAGTTCTAAGCATAATATATATTAAAGATCCTATAATATATTAGTATTCCGCTTTTTAATCTAGAGGGCAGTTATATTCTAGGATATTCTCTAATAGTAGTAAGGTTTCTATTAGCGTGCTAATAGGAGCGCAGTTATTAATTCTAAACTAATAAACAACCTTATTAATATAAGCTTCTTAACCTAGGTATAGTATTCTGTTCTAATAGTTTTACTAGATAGATATCCTAAGGTAGTAGCTATACAGTCTAAGGTCCGTTATTTGGAAACGGTTTCTTAGGCCTTTCTTAATCCTCTTAATTTTTGCAATACTTAGTCTAATAATTAGAAGGTTATTAATATATACTGCTATATATATATTACTTTATATAAAAATTCCAAGGTTAGTGTTAATTAGTTTAAAGCCGAGACTATATAAAAAGTTTATAAAGGTTTAATACTAAATATAAAAAGCTTGCTTTAGGCTATAGAGTGCTTTCCGAAGTTTATAGACCCTTAGTATACCGTCTACTATATAGTGTAGCTGTTTAATATAGATTTTATAGTCTATATTACTATATAGAAAGGCTGTCTTAATATCTATTTATTTAATTTTAAGGCCTAGGGCGGCCGTAATTATAAATAGAGCTTTATAGCTTATTAGCTTAATAATAAAGGTAAATATTTTATTATAGTTAACGCCCTCTTCTTAAGTAAAGCCCCTAACTACCTATCTACTTTTATAGCGGATAACTTTTCTATATAGTCCTTACTTAAGCTTAAAAACCTATTTACCGCTAAGAACCTATTAATTTCTAGAAGGGTTAATAAGCTTCTATATTTTATTCTGTTTAAGTAAGTTAGCTTTTTTAAATATTGCCCTTTCCTATTTAGGCCAGCTTATATTATTCTTTGCTTAGTAAATAGTTTTTAGTTTAAAGGGTTCCGTTTCTTCTATAGCTACTATTAATAATATTAGAAGTATATTGCCTTTAGGTATATTTATTAGCGCGAGTTCTTCTGCGCTATTATTAGATATATCTAATACAGCCTGCAGGATACGGATTCTAAGTTTAGGGTAATATTCTAAGGCTTTTTACCTTACTCTATAAACTAGGCGATTAAGCTAGAGTCTTAGATATTATTGCTGTTCTTCTAAGGCTTAGTTATATAGAGCGTTGTCCTATTACTAGCTACTATTAGATAGTAGATTATCTTTTTCTAAAGTATCTAAAAATAACCTAAAAGTATTATTACTTCTAAAAGGCGATAAGGTTCTGTCTCCCTGCTTAGTAACTAACTGCGAGTTATTATTACTTAATTAGGACAGCGCTCCCTTTTCTAAGTTATTATTACTTAGTTAAGATAGTATTTATAAGTCTTTATTACTTATCTAAAGTAATATTTGCGGGTTTTTAGTGCCCGCCCGAGGTAGTATTTATAAGTTTTTAGTGCCCGTATAAGGTAATATTTACAAGTTCTTATTACTTATTTTAGAAAAGGCTTGCTCTAGTACTGCTGCGGATGCGTAATATCTAGAGGCTGGCATAAATACTTGCTATATACTTACTAATAGTTAGTTTAGTAGCCCTACTATCTTACTCCCCTCTGCAGCAGCAGCTATTACTTTAGGTAAGCTATATTATTTAGCTTCTATATTTTATATAATCTGTATAAAGAGAGTTATAAGAGCTTCTTAGAATTTAGTATTTAGAGTTCTAATAATCCTTTTATTTTCTAGTAGAATGCGGTAGTTAGTGTTTCCTTTATAGCCTAGTAAAATATATAGCCTTATTTATAGTTTAGTTAGCTTTTTCCTTTACTTTAGTAGGA